TGTTTCCTTCCTTCTTTGGAGTTTAAGAAATCAAAGGTATACCTCCTGCTGTGTTATTTTCCCACATTAGTGTGGACTGAGCTCTTTGCTGGGTGATCAGGACTGTCTTGGACCAGAAAGACACTATTTCCCTCTTATAGAACTTCTCCCAGAATATCCATGATCCTACTTAGTGCCTTTTCTGTCTATTCCTTTAGTTCTCAATGAAGGTAGCATTTCCCTAAATATGGAGGTCATTTTAATTTACAATTTTATAAAGTATTTTTAGTCTTCAAATAGTACTAATGATTTGGCCCAAAGCTAATATTTCTGTTTCTTTACCTGCCATATTGTCCTTACCCCATCACACTCATCCTAACCTCTCCATTGAAACTGCTGTCAAGGGTCCCTAAAGATCTGACAGATCTGTTGACTGACTTCTGTCCTTCTCTTACTTGAGCTTGTGGCATTTGATAACTGTTGATCATTTCCTCTTACTCCTGTGGACATCAGTGATACATTAACATCCAGACAGCATTTATCAAGCAAGGCAGATTATATAACAGTAAACAAGAAATGCATTTTTCCCTACATAGAAGTTTTATTCTCATGATGTTGTGCTTATTACATTAGTAATAATAATTAGTATTAGACCATCTGAGACCTAGCTCTGACACCTACTGTTGTGTCAACTTAAATACATTTCTTAACAGTCTTCACCTGTAAATAGTAACATTACAAATACCAGCATAGTAATTTCAAAAAGCATTAAATAATCTCTGAAAATATTTAGCACACTGCTTGGCATTCTTTACATTCTTAGGGGGGCAGCCTAAGTCTGTCAATTTACTCCTTTTTTGAAGACATTATGTCATCTCTTTGGCTGGTGTTCTTTACTCTAGCCTTGGCAATCTCAAGTCCCACTTTTGCAATGCTGATTGCACTTCTGCCTGCCAGCCATTAAACACTGACTACTGTTCTTCCCTGACATACTGGCTTCCCACATCCCTCCTTCCTCCATACTCCATTAGAGTTCATCTGCTGAGGTCTCTTCACTTCCTGGTCAGGTTTTGAACACCTGCTTTTTCTCCCAGTCTCTTTTCAAGCATTTCCGCAAGCAGAGGCAGACACTATTTCTTTGCATCTCTTTAGGTCCCTACGCATATCTGTCATAACACAGTCAAGTGTAATCTGCAGGGGTCCATGAGAGAAAAGAAAGTGTCTATTTGTCTTGGTATTCTTAGATGTGGCACAACTGTGACCTTAAAATATAGATAATATTTATCAAACAAATACTTAGATGAATGCTTACTTTCTATGAAAGGACACTGTTCTCTATGTGCCAGGTATTGTGCTAGTTACTGTTAGATATGCAGCATCAATAGGACAAGGTCATTGTCTTCAAGAAAGGCACACTCCAAGGCAGGATGGGATAGCCAATGAGAGATAACACCCATAGCAGGAAGGAACATTCTATTTCATTCAGAGGTATGGGATGTTAGCATTTAGACTAATCATCTTCTTAAAAGAGGTGAATTAACAGTAATTTAAAATTTGGACTTTTTACTTACCCATTAATAAGAGCAGTTTTATTATGACTTCTGCCTCTTGAGGAAATGTATTCTTGTAGACCCAAATGTCAAGCTGTCATAGCATCTTGTGATAGAAAGAGATGAGCATTGTCTATATGTTTCAAGTGATTTACTGTAAGTAGGGGTTTGCGTCAATCGTAGGTGGAATCTTGGGAGGTAGAACTTTAGCAGTTATCTGAGCTAAACCACTTTGTGCTTCTGATTTTTGAGATAAGGTTTAAAATGGAAGTTTTGGCTACTCATTTGTAGTATATTTGCAGAAGTTGAAGTGATCTTTCCCTACCTTTAATTTTTTAAACTCTAAGAATTTTTTCTTCTTTCCTGGTCTAATGCAGTTTAACAATTGTGGGAATGAAAATCTTCATTAGTTAATTGAATATTGTGATTTATATAGAATTATTATGAACAGTATTTGAGTATAATATTCAAAACAAGTCAGCTTTTCTTTAGTGAAACAAAAGTCATCTTAGCATCATGGTGCACTATAGTGACATCATTTGAAAATTAATAGTCATTATATCTTAAAGTACAGAGGTGATTTAAAAAAAGTATGAGATTATTTTGAAATAATTTCAAGTTTACAGAGAAGAAAATGCAAGTACAGTACAAATCATGCTCTTTTCTGAGCCACTTGCTTCATTACCACTGAATGCTGTGGTATGCAGTTCCCGGAAATGAGGACATCCCTACATTGAACCATCAAGGTAGGGGATTTAACTTTGTCCAGAGGGCATTTTTAAAGCAGCAAGGTTTTTTAGTTGATAAAGTGCTGCATATGAGGTAGTTTTTATTTTGTTGCCTCTGGTAATTTCTTTACTGGTTGTTTTTTGGAATATTATTTGAGTTCTGGCACTGAGGATAGAACATGAACTTACTGTGTTGTCTTTATATCTGTGTTCTTCACTTAAGAACTGTGAGGACATTTTCACAGTTATGAGAAATGCCAGTTAGAAGCAATTCTTTTTCTCTTCTGTGCTTATAGACCCTATGTACTTAGAAGACACAATTCTTCAAAATTTTGAAGCAATCTATGGAATGTTTTCAGTGGTATGTAAAATATTGTAGTTCAGCAAAGATCAATCAGATTCTAGGGATGCTTATTCTGAATTTAGTTTTTAAGAAGAATTTCATAATTAGAAAATTTCACAGCAATAAAGGATACCACCACTGAATGTGGCCATAACTAATTTGTTCATGTTAGAATTTTTTAGTTATCACATAGTGATGGTGACATAGGATTTGACATAGAAAGAAGTATTAGTGAAAGAGATGAGAGTGAATTTTCAGACATGTAGTAATTATACTAGGAGACTCTGGTTTGATAAGCTAAAAACAATGAGAGTTTTAGGAGGAACAATTGATCAGTAGTGTCAAATTAAAGGAAAAACAATAAACAAGGTCAAATAGGATAAGGACGAAACAGCATATGTTGGTTTAGATAATTTTGAAAGCAGTTCCACCAGAGCAGGAGCCAAGTTGCAGATCATCCATCTTGCTTCTTTCTTCCACACTAGAGAACTGGGCAGATAAGTGCCATTATTATCAACTCTGGCTGGTGTTATTGTTAGTAAATGCAGCATATGTTGAATAGCAATCTTGTAACATGGCAGTGTAGACTGAGTAGTGATGTTTTTATCATAATAGGTGGCTTTCTTAGCTAGCCTTGAACATCAAATCTATGAAACTGAAATAAATGTGAAATGTTTCTTAATATAGGGACTCCTTACGTAGGTTTCTACTTATTTTCATTTCACATGGATTTTGAGGAAAATCTATGAATTGTAAATTTGAAATCTTACCTTGACTACCATACTTTTAGAATCTATAGTAAGTTCTCAACAAATACTTGATGTATTCTGAATTTATTTTAAAAATAATTTTATTGATTGTAATACTGCCACACTTCTGGATGGAAGGAACACTCAAGAAATAATAAAGATAGAAATAGGAAAACAAGCCATAGACAGTGTCAATTTTTCTGCATTCTAACGGGGCACTAGTAAAGTGTCCTGTCTTCCCAGTCCAGCCTTGATTCTCAGGACTTCCTTATAAGACGGAATAGAGTGGACAAGAAAAGATGAAAATGAAACTACACATACTAATTTCAACCAAACTCAAGAAGAAGTAATGGAGTGACTGTATAGAAGCTGTCTTTAGCATACAGATTCTTTCTAAGTGTTGAACTTCTCTTTGGACCATAAATTTCTACTATTTTTTCCTTAGATCATTCTCAACAGTGAATTTCACATGGTCACTTGTGATCCTGCTTCTGATTACTCTACAATACATTGTGTGTATTTATTTATTTATACTTATTATAATTCTAGTAGTAAAAGTAGAGTTCCTTTTGCTGGGTTATCAAAGAATGAGTATGTACTGACAATGACTCTGTTTCTGTGTAGTCAAATTCCTACTATACTTTTGACTGCTCTTAGTTTTGTGGTTGAAAGAATGCAAATCATTCCAAGTTCTGTCATTTAAAATTTCTTGTTTTCTCTGTCCCTAAGGTCTAACTGACCTGCTGGACTTTTCCTGAGATTGCTAACATAAACCTTTCATTTCCACCTGATAGCTTGATACCTTTTCCTATTCATCTATTAGATTCCCTTTGAGTTGATTTTTTCCTACTTAATGAGTACATTATACTATGCAATAAATGGTAGTATGGGTGATATATGGGCATAATATAGAGACAACTTGGGTGTTCTGTAAAGACTAGGGAAATCATTAAGAAAAATAAAAAATGTTATTTGTGATATTTATAGCAACTGGAACAGGTTATTAAAGACAAAAAGGAACAAGTAGATTAGTAGCATTTAAAAACTTTATGCTTTGGGAGTTAGGAGGAAGAAAGAGATAAGTAGGAGTTGCACAGTGGAGTTTTAGGGCAGGGAAACTACTCTGCATGATACTATAATGTCAGCATTAATAGAATTTATGGCATGGTAAACCCCAATGTAAACTATAGACTTTGAGTGATGACTGTGGGTCAATGTAGGTTTATTTTTTATAACAAATGTACCACTCTGGTGGAGCATGGTACTGGGGGGCGGGGAAGCTATGCCTGTGAGGGGCAGAGGGTACAGTGAACAATGTACTTTCCACTCAATTTTGTCATGGACCTAAAACTAGTTTAAAATGCAATCTATTTAAAAACAAACAAACAAACAACAAACAAAAAACATACAGATAAAAAACCTCAAACATGTTCAATTCTCACTAATATCTTAGAAGCATCCAAAAGATGAACTATAATTTACTTTTTCTGATTCATATGAATGAGCTAACCTGTATGGGAAAATGTCTGCCCAAGGAAAATGTCTTTCTTGCTTCACTTACTATAGACCTCTTTTGAGAAGCATTTTAAAAGCTATAATCTAATTTTTTTTTATTCTACTTTCTTAACATTTGCTTCTCATTTTCTTTCAGGTTTGAAGTTTGAGGAAATTCAAGAAAGATTTGGAGAGGAGTTCTTTAAAATATGCTTTGATGAGAATGAGAGAGTCCTTCGAGCTGTAGGTGGTACATTACAGGACTTTTTTAATGGCTTTGATGCTTTGTTGGAACACATTAGAACTTCTTTTGGAAAACAGGCCACTCTGGAATCACCATCTTTCCTATGCAAAGAGCTCCCTGAAGGTACTCTTATGCTCCACTACTTCCACCCTCATCATGTGGTGGGGTTTGCAATGCTGGGGATGATTAAGGCTGCAGGAAAGAAGATCTATCGCCAGGATGTGGAAGTGGAACAGGTTGCAAACGAGAAGCTGTGCTCTGATGGTTCAAACCCAGGCAATTGTAGCTGTCTTACTTTCCTTATCAAAGAATGTGAAAATACTAACATCACGAAGAACCTTCCACAGGGAACCTCCCAAGTTCCTGCAGACCTCAGAATTAGCATCAACACCTTCTGCAGAGCCTTCCCTTTCCACCTGATGTTTGACCCCAACATGTCAGTCCTTCAGCTGGGAGAAGGCTTAAGGAAACAACTTCGATGTGACACTCACAAAGTGCTCAGGTTTGAGGACTGCTTTGAGATTGTTTCTCCAAAAGTCAATGCTACCTTTGAGAGAGTTCTGCTGCGACTGTCCACCCCATTTGTGATTAGGACCAAACCTGAGGCTTCTGGCACTGAAAATAAAGAAAAGGTAAGTGGATACGGACTTGAGATCGGTGAGGGGAACCATGGAATGGATAATTATTTCAATAAATTACATGCTGGCTATACTTGTAATTATTTAGGCAAGAGAGCTTTAAGTGCCATTTAGAAGATTACTGGTCCCTTGATGTATGTAAGAAGATTTGGCCCTATTCCCAGCCATTTTGCATAGTGTCTGCCTCATTCATTAATTTATTTCAGCACATAAAAAGGAGACATTTATTAATACTAGGCATAGCAATTACAAAAATGATAGGACTCACTAAAAATCTAATATTTTACATTCATGAATTTTTTTCACTGATTGAAGTCAAACCGAGAGAGAAATAATGATACTGATTTCAGCATTGCAGGGTTTGATTGCCTTATCTGGAAATAAATATAGGTTAAAAAGTCAGCTATACTATGAATCTGTTCTTTTCTAAATTTCATAATCTAGGAACATCTAATACATATCCTACTTTTGTCTTAGTGTACAAAATAATGTTCCCCATAGGTTGGAAATTGACTGTCTAAAAACTTCTCTTTAACTAAATTTTAGTATTGAAATAGGTTCATTCCTTTAGAATGTGTTTTTTCCTTGAGAAGATTCAGAGAATATTAGTATTCCATACTCATGTTCTACTAAAATGCAGTTCTCTTAGGCTTTCATCTTATATCCAAGTATTTTGTGGAAGTTATTGGTTATTAGAAATTAATAGGTTGCTATGGCTAAAAGAAGGAAAAATTTCAGAAATAATGAAAAACTCAGTAAGTGAATAATCTACTACACATATTCTGGATTGTCTGCAATAATAATTAATGAAAAAATAGGATCCTGAAAGTGGAGTCAAATATGTTTTTGAGGATTTTGTACAGTATTAGTTTCATAGTTAACTTTATAATTTTGAAGTTCAATGGAAACCTTTTAAAGTATTTGAGAAAGATGGAATGATCCTTAAGTATTCCCTCTGAATAAGTGATTTAGGAAAATCATTCAGTAATATTTTTATTATATAAATCCAGGGATTAGAAATCATCTAAGGATAGACCTGGATTTGATACATTTGGATATTTTAGTGTGAATGAATTATTATTGTTCTTATTCGATCACAGAAAGATTTTTTTAATTTTTTGTTTTTTTAGTAGTACTGGGGATTGAACTCAGGGGCACTTTACATCTGAGTTATACCCCTAGTCCTTTTTAGTTTTTATTTTGAAACAGGGTCTTGCTAAGTTTTCCAGTCTGGCCTCAAAGTTATGATCCTCCTGCCTCAGCCCCCCAAGTTTGCTGAGATAACAGGCATGTGCCACCATAGCCAATTAATAATATTTTTAAGGTGATATATATATATATATATATATATATATATATATATATATATA